TCTGGCCAGTCGATCGGCTTCAAAGGAGTTCCAGCCATTACTCGACGCCGCCGCCGCGACGCCCGCCGACCCGGACGTCGAGAAGCGCAGGGCGCAGGGCCTCGAGGACATGAAGGCGTCGACCGCGGCGCTACGCCAAGTCGCAGGTCCGCTGGATCACGACAAAGGTCGTGCCGCGCCTGCAGGAGCAGCCCGGCGCCATGGACAGCCTCTTCGTCCTCGACAGCACGGACGTGGCCCAGTGGGCCGCCAACGTTGCCGAGCCCGCCGCCGCCATCGCGCGACGCTTCCTCGGCGGCGAGCCCACGCCTGAGCCGGTCAGCCTGTCGCCGCTGGCGCGCAAGGTCCTCGAGACGGAGACGGCAGGGCGCACGCCGTGTCAGAAGACGTGCCAGCTGTGCCAGGTCACCTGCACGACGGAGCAGGACTGGAAGAAGCACATGCGCAGCAAGAGGCACCATGCCATCGCGCGCCGGACGAAGAGACGGGCGCTCGTCGTAGTCGAGCCGGAGGCAAGGCCAGAGGCAAGGCCGGAAAAGGAGGCAGAGGTAGCCATAGCCGCCGAGTCTAGGGACTCGAGCCCCGAGATAGGGTTGAGTGCATTTGACTTGCCCGCGCCGTGATGGAGCCGATACAGAAGGTCGCCAATAGAGTGCGTCTTGGTACATCATGCTTGCGCTGAGGTTCGACAGGCATCCAGAGTCTTCGTCCTCGACATGTGGCTTTTGCTTCCAGCTCTTTTCGTCTTCGTCTGCCGCCTCTGAACATGGTGCCGTCTCGTAACAACATGACATCCTTCAAAGTATATCACAAAAGACAACATGACAAGTGCGGCTGCCACTTACGAAACCGAATAAGAACACGGCCGAGATGGGACGCGCCAAGTACGATCAAATCATCCATCCCCCAGCTCGTCGAGGCCCTCCCTGCAGCAGCCAGGAAACTGCAACAACACAGCCCAAACGAAACAGTCCAGCATCGCCAATCGTGCCAGCAACCCCAGTCAATCAACCCCTCTCTTCCTCGTTTTGACCGCCCTCACCTGACCACCCTCTCTCCCGGCACCCGGCCCCTTGCTACCCCCCCTCATCCCCCATTCTCCCCGTCGCATACAGTGCTGCAAGCCCACAAGGCCGCCGTGCCGCGCACCCGCATATTGGAGCCCCCCGGTCCCATCCCATCCTCCGGGTGGGTTTTCCCCGGAGCCAACTCCGTTAAATGCATGCTCGTTATAGAGGCAGAAACAGAGGCAGAGCCGTCTCGCTTTGGAAAAAAAAAAATGACATGCAATTCCCCACAACGGCACACCGATACGAACGGGCGTGATGCATTTCTTCTCGGCAGATAGACGCGGCTCTGTCCCGAGGGTATAATGGGAAACAAAAACCAACTGCTGGCGGGAAAAATGGGGGAAGAGGCCGTGCCGTCGCCACAGATAATGCGACGAGACGGGCTCCTTGGCCTTTCCGGCGCGCGCGGTGTCCGAGCTGCCCGAAAGGGCCAAGAAAGGGGGCGGGCGGACTCCACTACGTCACTCTTCCTGGCCTTTCTTCTCGTGTCGTCCTTTTCTTCAAGACATCCGAACCCGAATACGCCCGACGATCGGTTTGGGTGGGAAAAGGGAGCTGCCCGCAGCGGCGAGAAGTAGTTGGATTTCGAGCATGAGATCTGCGTGTGTATTCACCGCCCATTGCCTATTGCCAAACACAACAACAACGCCAGTTCCATTTCTACTACCGAAAAAAGGCACACAAGTCGTGGAAATTGGAAAGACAGGCATCATAAATGCAGACGGGAATAAAAAGCCAAAAACTGAAAACCCAATAGAGGAGAGGTTGGTCTCACTGTACACCGCGCTCGTGTCGCCCATCATCCCTGAAACTGTACCGTCGTCTCGTGTCCGTGAAGTGTGCGTCTCCCGTCTATGTTCCATCATGAACCCCCTCATCGTACAGCTTCACCAGCCGGTGTTGACAGTGCTCTCTCGCATCGTCAGTGGCCACCTCTCAACGCCCAGTCTCCAGAGCTCATGAACCGCCACCTCGTGCCCGTTCACCACCGTGGTGGTGGCGGCTGTGTTCCAAAATTTCCAAAGCCCGAAAACACGCCCGATGCTGTCCCGGTTTGCGATGTTGTTGGTCCAGACGACCCAGGGTTGCCATTGGCGACAACGCCCATGTCACCCCACATGTCCCAGTCCAGCGCCGAGTTGTCGAAAAAGTTGCCCAAAAAGTCCAATTGCCCATCAGTATGCGGTGCGCCCCCATTGTTCAGGTGCGGCATGTCCATGTGACCCGGCTGTGCGGGGCTGGGGCCGTTGCTCGACGACCCTGAGCTCGGCTGGGGGACCCTGTCCTGAAGCTTGGGAACACAGACAGGCACATCAAAGGGAACGCACATGGACGTGAGAGCGCGCTCGCGCTTGGCCCACGCCCTGACGATGAAGGCCGCGAGCTCCGAGTATTGCTTTTGCGACATGTCCCAGAGCTCCTCGTGGTACATGTACACCTTGTCAATGACGTTCCACATGCGGTCAGCGAGGGAGCCTGTCTGGCGGCGCTGGTAGAGCTGGCCGACGAGGAACGCGAATACTTCAAACTGAAAGTGGAGCCTGTGGAACCAAATGAAGCTTTGGTTGTCTTGCAGCTCGTAATATGTCAAATTGTGCTCCTGGTGGAAGAGAGAGATGCGGAAAATGTTGTCTTGGACGTTGAACACCTCGGTGCCCCATTCTGGCGTTTCACGCATCGGGATGAGCATGTGGCGGATCTTGTCGAGAATCATGGGGCGAAGGCGGCTGGACATGAGGTGTGTCGGTCCGGCTGAAATGTCGAGATGACGCTGTTCAATGGCAATGAGCCGCTCTTCGAGCGCATCAATCATGGCATTGTATTTGTCGAGAGAGGCCCGAATCGAGTCACCAGGGGCGGTGCCAGGTTCCGGACCCTGGCCGAGCAGGACGACTTCCTCAAAGTCGGGGAGGCGGTTCTGCGAAATGAACTTGCCAATCTCGTAGAGGAGGATGCAGAAAATCATTTCGGTCGGTCCCTCGCGTGGTTGAAGTGGTTCCGTCGAGCCAGGGAACAGATCGGCATCGTTGACGTTGGAAGGAATCTTGGTATCCCAGCCCCATGGCAGTAGGGTGTCGTTGAATCCAGAGACTAATGCAAACTTTGAGTCAAGCATGAGAATCTGCCACCAAACCCTCCTTCGTGTTTCGATCTCGAACGCAGTCAGGTTCAGAGTTTCGCCGTCACGGTGAAGGCCCATTTTGTGAGCGATGCGGATAAGAACCCCGCTGAGGACCCAGGCCGCGTGTCGGTTGTATCGACCCTGGAGGGAAATCTGCAGAGGGCGAGTTATTAGAATCCGGGAGGGCCACCAGCATATGTTGACTCACCAGGTACAGAACGAGAGCCTGCAATGTGGTCATGTCGTAGTTCTTCAAGAAGTTGACCCGCGTCAGCGCCGATTTGACGCCAATGGTAAACTTTTTGATCGCTTCGTTTCTTGACATGTCTAGCATTTGCCTCGACTCCGTCTCGGACATTGTGATGGTTGATATCAGATAGATCGAGAAGAGCAGGGCCTGAATGTTGTTGGCGACATTGCGGTGGTTGGCAGCTGCCTCAACTACAATGGGTTGCAATGTCGGAACATGCACGAGCTTGGAGAGTGGGTTGACTCGCTCGAGGAATACCTGCCAGAGGCGGAAGATCTGAACCGGCGAAGGCACAACGTCCTCGAGATCAATGGAAGCAAAGTCGTTGAGTAAAAGGTCAACATTGTCATCGGGCGTTGGAGCATCAGAGGCGAAAGGGCTCGCCTCGTCCATTGCCTCGGCGTCAAGGATGGCTCGCATGGCGGCAACCTAGATGGTGTGAGCAGGTGCACATCATCGCCAAGTGTGAAACTGGCGACTCACATTCTCATGGATAATGGTCCACATGTGACTGTCCATGAACTTGACGCTGCCATCTTCGACGACGAGCTTGCCAGACGGCTTCCATGGCTTTGGTGATTTTTCTTCTGCTGGAGTGGGTGCAGACGGCAGGAGGTTATAGCCAGGTGTGGCGACGCAGCAGCCGAAGACATCGACTGCGCCGTAGGGGCGGATATAGGTCCTGGGGTGTAGGGGAGCTGGCTGGGGGCAAGACCAGACGAAGCGGGCGTTCCGGGATTGGGGGATGGATTCAAGCCGTCAGGAAGCGGACCGGATGTATTGGCATACTGTTTTAGCAAAGCCTCACAGCGTGCAAGTCTCTCCTGGAGGTCTTGGTTAGGCCCGCCTCCGCTTACGGACGGGAGCAGGCGTGGAGGGTGTGCATGGGACGTTGGCCTAGAAATGTCAACAAGAGGGCACGTGGTAGAGTGAGAGGGGGTTGGCACGACGTATACACGTGTAAGAAGACGTACCTTGAGACAGTTTGAACACGGGGTATTGCGATCGCATTTGATTTTGCGGTGCTGGCACAAGACGCAAGCCAGAACTCGAGGGATCTTCGAGTTGTGGTGGCCGTTTGGGCCGTTTGGGCCGTTTGGGCCGTTTGACTGGCCGCCACCTTGCTGGCTGGGAGTGCTGTCGCTCATGGTGATGACTGTGAGTCGACGGCACCAGTGATCTAGCTATCGACCACCTGTTCGTGACGTATGGACGGCGTCACCAAGCCGATGCGAATGAAATAGAGTCAAGTCCGGTGGTTCCAAGGCCGGCGATGGGGTGGGGGAGATGGAAAGGACAGCCTGAAGCCCTTGAAACTTGAGTTCGTGGGGTTGAGCGCACGTTGGCCGAATTGAGCCTCGCTTCGCGGCTTCGCGGTGTTTTCCACGTCGCAATGAGGGGCGACTGCGGGTTCCTACGTAGTATGGCCTTGTTGGGCTGTAAACTGCAAGATGAGTCGAGTCTAGCACAGCAGTCGCAGGTTTTGTCGAATGCAATGTAGGTGCTTGAAGAAAAGCCACGCAGGCGGCCGCCAACCGGGGGGTTGGTGTTGGTGTGTCAGGATGAGGAACACGTACGACGAGAGGAACCTGGGTCGTTGTGGAAGGGTAGTGAAATGAGAGGTGGGTGGCTGAGTTGAAGAGTCGGGCGCGAGGTCAGAGGCGCCCTGTGGTCGAGGTCAGCGTCAGGCTGAGCAAGAAGACGGCAGGAGAGAAACTAAGGCAGTCAAGTGTTAAGGCCAAATCGAGAGCCCAGAGTCCAGACTTTAGAGACCTGGAAGCGCAGTCCGTCAGGCCGAGGACCTGATGAAGGAGGCAGCGCGGAATGCAAGGGTAGCAGTCGTCTTCTCTCAGGCTCCAGTTGTACTGCTATGCATCCGGGGGGGAGAGGCGCCGAGACGATGGGGATTGTGAACGCACAAGTATCGTTTTTTGGGTCGCTACGCTTTGCGAAGCTTTCTGCCAGTGGGACTTGTGACCAGGCGTTCCCTAGCACTGGGGGCTTTGACTGGGTCGGGCGCCTTTCGTTGAGCAGGGTGCGATGTGACGGACAGCACGTGAATGTGGTAGAAGTGGAAAACTGCGGAGGAGGAGGAAGTGGTTGTCGGCAGGGATGGAGGGATCGTTGTTCCGGCAATCCCGCGCGCGTGGATGGCGGGTGGGTGGTGGGTGTTGAGGCTGCTGACAACGTGCTAGCTCGAAAGTCTTGTGTGGTGGGTGCGGTGCAACGTCGAGTTTAGTAGGATGGTTTTGATCGGCTTGGTAATAAGGATGGGGGAATGGATGCGCTTCCTACGCCGAGTTGGGTTGGGGGGTTGCGGAGAGAATGACGGCGTCGGCGGACTTTGGCGGAAAGGAACAAAGAGGCGTGCGGCGACTTGAACAAGCGATATCTGCACTGTCGACACGAGACAGCTTTCTTCATCCCTCTGGCCCGGTTGAATTTTGCCCACAGCCGGAGCACCGTGGTGAATCTGGCAAGCGACGGCTACGTGGGCTGGGGTTGCGAGAGACGAAGAAGACCAAGCTGCTCGGGTTGCCGGCCGGGTCCGTGACTCCCCCAGCAGGTACTGTATGCCGAGTCGTATGTTCGTAATCGTACTCACAGCGCGTACTTGTACGTAGTAGGGAGCTTTCTCGCCAGGTGGGCTGGGTCGAGACGGCAAGACGGGCAGGCTGCGCAGGCCAATGCCGTGGGCCAGCGGGGAGAGGGAGAAGGGTCTACTACCTTACTGTGTAGGTAGGTAGGGGACTGGAGGGGTCAGACTGTGACGACATCAGCGGGCTACTGCAACCTGGTATCGACAAGAAACACTAGCCCTGAAGAGCCTGTCACCAACAGCATTCGGCCCTGTGCTCTGGAACCCTGGTCTGGGCCCTTTCTCTGCCTGGGTTCAGGGGTGGCTTTGGGGGGGGGAGTGCCCGGGCCTCTGGTTTTGACGTGACGAGGGGTCGACCTGGCGCACTCGATGTGTAGCTTGCTACGTTTTGCATCGACGTCTTATCGTACGACACCATGGGCCATCGAATGGATGATGGGCGAGGATGGTCAGTTTCTGGTGGCAGAGGCGACTCTGGTGGTAGAGGCGAAAGGAAATGGTCGATCTCGGTAGGTATGTGGGAAAGACGACAGACAGAGGAGTGTGGTGGGTGAAGTGGGGTGGGTTCTTCTGGTGGCTGGCAGCTGGCCCTGGATAGGATGCCGCAGGGCAGGCACGGTGTCGGCAGGATGGGTTGGACGGCTCTTGGCCTGGTCGATTCGGGACGATTTTGGGCATCTGCCTTGCCGGCTGGCGCTGTCGGGCAGTTGCGTTTTTACGATGGCTGCGTCGCTACTTCCCACCTGCATGACTGGCTTGGCCGCTTCCGCCCTAGCGGCGAGAGAGTCACGCCGAGTGGGGTCGATGCCCGATAGACGACTCATTATGCTTTGTTACATCGAGGGCGGGGTCGATCACTGCTTGCCTCTCTAACCGGGTCTCCCAGACCTTCCCCATGGATCACTGCAGTTAGTGCTGCACGGCAGATAGAGCTACTCTACATGCAATCTTCAACACCATCACAACTGGCCGCCCGGAGATGCTCCTACATAGACGACCGCATCATTCTAAGCGGCCTTCATCAGGAGAGCTCCCGATCCAGCACCCTGCACTTCCAGAGGTGTTTGACAACTGGGGAAAAAGCTCAGTTGTTGCACGTTTCCTACTCAGAAGACATATTGTACATACGTACGTGGAAATCGGACACCGGCGCCAGCAGCCAACAATCCCAGAAAGATCCGCCAAGAAGAAGACAGGAAGCTTCGCCAAAAAGAAAACACCTTCCTGTCTCGACCCCGGTCTCAGAGCAAGCTGAGAAGAAGCTCATCACGCAGACCCAGACGGCCCGACCACGAGACAGCAAATCCCGCCCCCACATATCGCCCTTCTCTCCAGCCTGTCACTCGCCAAGCTCGGTCATGGATAGCCCAAAAGGCAGCTGGGTATTGAATTTGCCCAATACGGTGACCCGGCCTTGGCCATGACGTCGTCAAACCTTCACTCGCTTAAAACCGAGGCCAGGCCAGCTTCAACCACCCCGCCGCATGCCTCTGAGGTTCCGTGCCGTTACTGTTGGCCATGTCGCGCCCCCGCGGCGGCATCGCATACAGGAACACAACGCGCTGCCATGTACTCTCTCGCAGCCCAAGTCCCGCGGTGCCCCCTACTCCAGGCCGGGGTCTGGACAGGTTACGGGGCCCGCGGCCTCCGGGGTGGGTACGGGCTCAGGCTCACGGGCCTTGATCCGTGTGAAGTTTCTCCGTGACGAGGCACGACAACACCGTCGCGCAGGAGCGACGGCCTCTATGTGTCGAAACTCTGGTATCCTTCCAGCGGTATACTCATCTTCCTATCGCTGTCCACGAGGACATCGTCGCCCTCACCGAACAGTGCCATGTGTGCGTTTCGCACGCGGGAGGCGCGGACAAATGCTGACGAGGACGCGATGGCGCTCCCTCGCCCTCGGTCAGTTCGGTGTAGCAGTGAGAGAAGGCCACGTCGAGGGAGGATGCCGCACCATCTTGCAACCGTGACCATTCAGGCTGTCGGGCATGGTCAGGTGGTCGGCCGCTAGGCAGAAGAAAGCCTTCTTCTGTCTATCAGCAGCTTCCCCCACCCCCTAAACCGGTTGCGCGACCTCTGTCCCCTATTTCTCAAGCTCTAACATGCTGTTCCACACAGCTCGACTCGGCCTTTTAGCTCCAGGAACACCTCGCCGCTCTCCACCACTTCTACACCAACGGTTCGAGCCGTCACACTTTACATACCAGGCTCGATGGCTAGGCTGTGTCGCCGGCGCAGGCGTTGAGGTCGGAGCGGAAGGCGGCGGGGTGACTGAAGCCAGAGTGCGTAGTTTGCTGTGAGGACGTGCATGGAAGGCCATGTCAATGTTTCTCGGCTTTGTGTAGATGAGTTGTTCGGCGAGGCTGGACCGCGACACAAAAGGCGTGCACCTGGCATGCCCATCAACCGCATATTTTCCGACGTGTCTGCCTGGTTCTCTCATACTTTTTCTTCCGGGCGAAAGGGTTCGCGAAGGCATACTTTGAGAACAGTCCGACCCTCTTCTCGTACCCCCAGTCTGTAGCGTCTCCGCGTAAATCCAACGTTCGACGCCCGACTTCATTCATTGGGGCGCTCTGTATTCGTCGCATCAACACATCCCATCCCCATCTGAGAAAAGGGGGGTGAAGCGGATCAGCGAAGAACGCGGGGTGAAAACGTCAGCCATGTGAACGGCCTATCAAAGCAACCCCTAATGCTTCTAGCTCGCCTTGCCGCGCACAGCGTTCAGTAATGGATCAACGCCTTCGGATCTCTGGCCATCTTGCGACGCGCTCCGGTTGTCTGGGAGAGGTAGGGTCGATACTGTTTGCATTGAATTCTTCGTAGCTAGGACGATTGCGATTATTCGTCAGGTCAACATGCGTCGACGAAACTGCCAGGTGTGCTCATTGGCCTCATGTTTAGGCTGAGAACCGCTTCTACAGCACACCAGGCTAATAGCAAGGTTCGCGAAGCAATTGCAATGAAAATGTGGCGTACTGAGTCCCTCCCCGGCAGCCATTCCTACTACCCAGTTGTCAAGCCTATTCATTCTACTACGTCCCTCATTCGTCATGGCATTGAATCGATCCATCCGTTGACGCGCTCTGGACAGGCTGGAGCTCTACCCAAGCCGCTACAGCTAGGCCCTAGGTATAAGGGATATTGAGCGGTCAAGGGTCTTTAGTTTCTGAAGGTCATTATCGAGGCATCGGTCGCATTATTCCTTGAGTACGTCTCAATTTTGTTGCAACCGCTTGGCAGTCCATGTCGTATGTGCATATGGTTGTTTTGTTTCTACTATCAGGGTATGCCGATAATTTCTGGTTGAAATGTCTGTAAAGCTGTCAGAACGACCGCAGCATCAAAGAGCATTGCACATGTCGTGGAGTCGTTTTGCTGCTGAGAAATGCTGTTTTGTTCCGTACACAAGGCGGTGTTGTCGGGACCGAACTCTGAATGACAGAATTGGATTGCTATCAGCACACAGTGTCTTGACTTAGGCAACAAGGTGACAACTACACCATTTGCAGGTACATGCCAGCAACCGCACACACTAGCACATTGTGCACAGTAGAAGGAGAGTATGAAAATAATTTGAATTGTGGCTTGGCCGCCAATTGGATCCGGTTGCCGGATCCATGTGTCCATGAGGGCCCCCAGGTCATTCGTCATGATATCATGGGTGTCGTCTAGCTAGATGGAGGAGGAACGCCTGAAAAAGAAGAGCGAACAAAGAAGTCTATAATATTCATCGTGGCTTTGTTCAGAGGGTTGCGCCTTGGTAGCCTTTGAGGGTATCACATGAGAGGTAATTGTTCTCGATGAAGGGGGTTGCAACTTGGAAGCCGAAAACTCCATTGAAGAATGTTGCGCTGGGAAAGGGGCCGACATTTGCCTCGATCGTGGCCTTGACGGGGGCCGGGGCAAAGGCACCCTTCGACAGTGGTGTGTCGAAGAGACGAATCATCTGGTCGCACTGTTTGCCGTTGACGAAGATGGGCTGATTCGTCACATTCTTGAAGAATGATAGTGGATACGGCACTGCCTTGCAGGACGGCAGGCGACTGTACGCAAATGACATGTAGGTTGAGTTGCTCGTAGCCTTGAAGAAGGTGTTGCCTCCCGGAAGAGTCGCGTAGGCATCGCACTGGGGCGCAAATGTCGAAGGGTGGACGACGGTGCCGTAAGCCTCCGAGCCGTCGATGGCGGCCTTGTTGGACGCTGTGATCATTTGTTCTGGAGCCCAGCGGAAGACAGAGTAGCCGTCGCCCAGCAGGTCCAGAAAGGGAAACTCGAAACCGGATCTCTGGAGGCATGTCAGCGGGTTTCATCGTAGCAAGCGACATGAGAAACTTACGCTGAAATCAGGGATGGTGAACTCCTGAAAACGAATATCATGGTCGTGGCCGGCCTGGAGCAGCACAGGGTACATGTCGGGCGGGAAGCTAGGTAGCAGAGACCGATATGCGCTCTCAAGGATGGCATACTGCGCCGGAATAATCTGTCGGGCCGTGGCCAGAGGAATAGGGATGATGGCCAGCGTCATGTTCAGCACGCCCGTGGCGTTGTTCGGATAGTCCTGGAAGATGGGGTTTGGCTGGTCGTGTGTCACACAGGTGTCGTCTGCCGTGGCAGCGGCTGTGGGCCGCAGATGCAGGCTCAGAAAGGCGATGATGGCCACGAGAGAGACCTGCCAGAAGAAGGTATGCCCAGGTCTGGCCACCCAAGGAGCACCGAAGGCGGGCGACATTGGAGAGCTTGGTGAGAGTCGAGTGTGGGCGTTTGGCGACATGAGAGTGAGAAGGGCGAAGAGGCGAAAATAAAGGTCGCACGGGAGGGTGAAAGACGATGCTGTCGAGGATGGCGGATGGAGATGTGAGATGCTGGGCAAGGCTATGCAGGATGGCAACAATGAAGAGCAGCCTGAGACATCGAAAGCAGACGAGAGCAGGGCATCGAAAGCAGACGAGGGCAGGGCATCGAAGGCAAAGACGAGAGAAGGCGTTGCTGGGGTCGTCGACTCTGAACAAGACAGAGGAAGGCAGAAAGGGGGGGCAGGGCGGCGAGGGGAAGAAGGAGGGGGAAGCGTCTTTCTTTCTCGGCGATGAAGCACGCAAGCAGTTGACGATGGCAAGAGGTAAGCCGTTGATGATATACCAACACAGAACACAGGTGAGAAACAGGTTCAGGACCCGAGGAGAAACAAACAAGCCGTGTTTCTTCGAGTCATCTGGAACAACGGCAGGGGATTGGCCCGAGTTGATGGGACGGGCTGGGATGGGACAGGATGGACGGGGGAACTGAGTGTGAGATGGGATGAGTCGGGCACTGGCTTGCCCATTCATTCATTTGATCGATCATGCGTGCGTCATCCATCCACCATTCGTGGAAGCGTCGAAACATGGGAGCCTGGCAGCGGAAGCTTTGGCGATGGTCACCCAGTCGGAGGGAACACAAACTCTAAGCGAGCGATCAGCTCACTTAGTCCAGGGATGCAGGTCCAGCACATGGCGCCGACAGGGTCAGCATGACCCCGAAGATCAGTCTGGTCAGCCTCGATCAGCCTGACATTCACGTGTGTTTGTGTGTGTGTGTGTGTGTGTGTGTGTGAGAGAGAGAGAGAGAGAGCGCGAGAGAGCGAGAGAGACACAGAGAGAGTGCGGGCGAGCAGTGCCAGTCAAATGAGAAGGAATCGATGGATGAACATGGTGGTTCTTCTGGCGCAGTGCTGGCTTCGGATGACAGGCGTTCCGGGCTGCGACGTGAGCGATGACCGCCCACCGCCGTCCCGGATGGCGGATGAGCCGGCAGCAGATGTGGGTTGCTGGCGTGGTTTATGCATACTAGCCGTCATGAGCGAACCGAACCAGAGCAGAGGTTTTGGGCGGCACGACGCCTACCTGCTTTAGGGTATCGCGACTGAGACGACGGACTTGATCAACAGCGTTCGCTCAGCCAATATTGAGACTCATTGGAGGCTGATTGAATTGGAGTCCGAGAAGCATTCCACGCCATCCTGACGATCGACGGATGGATTCGGGCATGATGCTGTTGTGTTGCTTTGCAGTGTCTCAGTCTAGTAGAGTCAGTGTTTTGCATGTCCCGCGTGCATGCATCTACTGATATGCAGCTATCAATTACCCTTGTATCTGGCGTATCGGGCTCCACGGTACATGGGCCCGCATCGCTGCATCGCCAAGATCATGACAGCCTCACCGGGCTGTAATTTCCTGGAGATGAAGGTTCCCATCAACAGGTGTTCCAGCACATCAGCGGGTGTTCCGGTTGGTATCAGGCCCTGATACTCTTTATTCTTTCTTGGTTTCGCATCAACCAACAAGGTTCTTGTCTCCCGCTGCATTTTCTCTGTCCTGCCACCGACAGAAACTACCTCTACGCACACTGCTACCATCAAGTCTGTGCGCTATTGCCCCGGATCCGCCCTTTCCGACTGGCTTCATCTGATCTCGAGCTCGAGAATTACCAATCCCTTCTCCTCAGGTCAGGCTCGCTTCAGGGGCGGTGAGCGTAATCCGCCCGACACTCGGCCACGTCTTCTCCGGTCTCACACAGAGTACAGGGAAACAAGTTCGTCTGCTCTTTTTGCCGTGGCAGGTCGTCCATTCGTGGCCCTCCATTGACAGCCCGATTTCGACCCATCCCTTCCCCTCCCCCCCCCCCCCCCCTAAAGCTCTTGTTGGCGTGCCCCATCTAGAAAGGCTCCGACCTTCCTTGCCCTTACATTCCAAGACAAGGCCGGCCATCCCACACACGCAAGCATGGCCGAGAAACAGCCGCAGGCCCCGGGCGTGCTCAAGACGCCCCTGTTGGCGCCAGCCCCGGGCGTCGTCCCTCCCGCGCGCCAGCCCCTGACGGCCGAGCAGCAGACCAAATACGACGCTCTGCTGGCCGAGGCCCGCGCCTGGACGGACATCACGCCGGCCCCGCCCTCCCCCGAACGCCCGGCCGGTCCCCTAACCGACGCCGAGCGCCAGTGGCTCACGCGCGAGTGTCTCCTCCGCTACCTGCGCGCGACCAAGTGGAACCAGCCCGAGGCCGCGCGCCGCCTGCGCGACACGCTCGCCTGGCGCCGCGGCTACGGCGTCGGCCCCGACGAGGTCCTGACGCCCGACCACATCTCGCCCGAGTCCGAGACGGGCAAGCAGATCCTGCTGGGCTTCGACAAGGACGCGCGGCCCTGCCAGTACCTCAACCCGGGCCGCCAGAACACCGAGCCCTCGCCGCGCCAGGTCCAGCACCTCGTCTTCATGGTCGAGCGCGTCATCGAGCTCATGCCCGCCGGCCAGGAGACGCTCGCCCTGCTCATCAACTTCAAGACGAGCAAGAGCCGTTCCAATACGGCGCCTGGCATTGGGCAGGGCCGCGAGGTGCTCAACATTCTGCAGACCCACTACCCCGAGCGCCTCGGCAAGGCCCTCATTATCAATGGTATCCTCTCTCTCTCTCTCTCTCTCTCTCTCTCTCTCTCTCTCTCTCTCTCTCGCTCTCTGTTCATGCTGACCACCATGCAGTCCCCTGGGTGGTCTGGGGCTTCTTCAAGCTCATCACGCCCTTCATCGACCCCTTGACGCGCGAGAAGCTCAAGTTCAACGAGGACATGAAGCAGTATGTCCCGCGCGAGCAGCTGTGGACCGAATTCAGTGAGGGCGACCTCCAGTTCGACTACGACCACGCTGAGTACTGGCCCGCCCTGATGAAGCTGTGCCAGGAGAAGCGCGACGCCAAGCGGGAGCGCTGGGTCGCCGGCGGCAAGCTCATCGGCGAGCACGAGGACTACCTTGCCGGCGGCGAGGACAAGGGGCTTGCTGCTTCCTCCGCCGCCCCTGCCGCCTCTGCCGCCCCTGGTGCTGCTGGAGAGGCTGTCGCGAAGCCTGATGCGCCGCCTGCTGCCGCGCCGGAGGCTGTCACTCCTGCGAGTTAGAGTGATGGGAAGACGAAGGATGGTGCCAGAAATTACAAGTTAGACATACATAGCGTTAGAGTTTCTCGAAATATGGCTTAGGTTGAATTGAGTGTCTTATGGAGTATTAGCCCAAGTCAGATACCATTCACAGTAAGGTAGTCAATTTCTATTATCAGTCCTGAGACGGTCCTTCGTTAACCTAAACCCCCCCCCCCCTTCCCCCCTACACCGAGCACACCGAAACAGCCGTGCGCCCCACACCGAGCCTCGCACCTCCACCAGACACCATCACCAGCAGCAGGACAGCTCCCGTTGACGTGCCGCCCGCCTCTTGACCACCACCAACGACAGCTCGCGCAGGTGATCCCGCCATGTCGAACCTTCAGTCCAAAGCCCCTACCAAGGAGCAGCCGGGGCTGCGTCTGCCGTCCAACGGCAAGACGATCTACCACCGCCCGCTCAACCGCACCAAGACGGCCGAGCTCTCGCAGGCCAGCTTCGCCTACCTCTTCAGCGAGATGATCAACTACGCCCAGCGCCGCGTCAAGGGCGTCGGCGAGCTCGAGCAGCGGTACGCCCTACACCAAGAGAGAGAGAGAGAGAGAGAGAGTCCCCCGTTCTTTCGCTAACGTGCAGCCCGCAGCTCAACAACCAAGGCCACCCCCTCGGCCTCAAGCTCCTCGACCTCCTCCTCCACCGCGAGCCGCCGCGCACCCAGCTGCGGCCACTCAACATCATCACGCTGCTGCACTTCATCAAGCAGAACCTCTGGCAGCACCTCTTTGGCCGCCAGGCCGACCGCCTCGAGAAGAGCGCCAACCCCGACACGCCCGACGAGTACATGATTGTCGACAACGAGCCGCTCGTCAACCGCTTCGTCAGCGTGCCGCGCGAGCTGAGCCAGCTCAACTGCGCCGCCTTTGTCGCCGGCATCGTCGAGGGCGCCTGCGACGGCGCCGGCTTCCCCGCCCGCGTCAGCGCGCACAGCATCAAGGCGCCCGGCAAGGAGGAGGCCGAGCTGTGGCCCGGCAGGACCGTGTTCCTCATCAAGTTCCGCGGCGAGGTCGTCGAGCGGGAGGGCTTCCTGAAGCAGTAGGCCCGGTGAAGCGCGGTGCAGCAAGGGCACATTCGATGGGAGAGGGGCCTGCGGGCTCGAGAAGGGCATTGGTTTCGGCGTTTGGGAGGGGCGTGTCTTTTGGCGTTTCTCGTCACGTTTGTCAAGAGGGCATTGGTTTTATGGGTGCTGTCCAGTCTATCCCGCCGAGGCAGCGAAAAAAAAAAACAATTCTTGATTCCGATGTTTGTCATGTTCAAGCATTCTGCCTGCTGTCGCACCCCGCGATGCGTATCCCTATGCTCGACCCGCAACCCGTCATGGCCAGTCCGGTCCTAACGATCCTAAACGCCTCGCTCCGAAATCATACACTCTCCCGCCTGCAGTGCTGGCCGTCTCGAGAGTCGGAGATCACCGCGGCATCTTCCTCTTCCTCTCGCCGCTTCTGGGTCCCTGCGCCATGAGCGCGCCCAGTCCGAGGTCCTTCCACGTCGCCTCCTTCTTGGCCTGCGTCGCCTTTGTGATGCCAAACGCCGCGTGCTGGTCGGGCACCACGTCGTCCTCGTCCTCCGGGTTGACGGGCTGCAGGTGCGCCGGCACGTAGACCTCGTCGTCGGGCAGGCGGTCCTTGCAGAAGTCCTCGAAGAGGTCGGCGTCGCCCGCGCGGTGCAGGTGGACGTGGGTGTGCGTCGCGTCTTTGTTCTGGGCGAGGGTCAGCATGCTTCTTTGCGGGCAGGCCGGCAGCGTACCATCTTGGGAAGCTGGTGGTGTTGGTAGAAGTCTTGGAGGATTGGATGACCGTCTAGAAGAACTGTCAAAGGGAGTTGTTTTGAACATGCCAAGCCGAATCGTAATGTTGCTGCTCCCCGCCATTTCAGGGCCCGTGCGTCGGTCTCTACATCGACATCATCGCCAGGCTGAAGAACTCGCATTTTCAACACGAGAATCCGTCTAGATGCCGGAATCTTTGTTATGTCCTCCGACAATCACCAGCTATCTTTCGACCTTCTAATCTCAACAGACAAGTTCCTGTCCTCATCCCTCCAAACACCCCCCCTGCCCACGACGACACACTTCACCTGCACCGGATTCATCATCCTCGCAGCAAGGCCCCAGACCTCCTCCTGACGCAGAAGAACCTCCTCCCGCGCCGCACAGATCAAAGCCTCGCACGACCCGTTGGCACGCGAGACACACGATTCCTTCGGCACCAGGAGCGACCCCTCTCTGTCATGCCAAGCCCCGTAGACGGCGGGACAGTCTGGCGGCGCCGGCCCAGGGACCTATCCTCACCACATCAGTCGAGCAGTCACGGTAGGAATGGATGAAGACGTGTACTGACGGAGGGCGGGGAACAGCTCCATGCAGAATCGGCGGAGGGTACGAAGCCTGGGAACGGCCTGTCTGGCGAGGGAAAGAAGCGCGACGCAGGCTTGAACGGCTTGATGGTGGGATCTGCTGACTTTGAGGCTCGTGATGTGGCCAGCGGCGTGCAGGTCGCAACTAATGGTGTCATGGTGACGAGAAGCAATCTGAAAAGTGAGGCAAGACGCATCATGGGCTGTCGTGTGTGGCTTCGATGGGCTCTGTACACTGTTGCTTCACGCTTTTGGTGATGCTTTTCTGAGGATGATCCGCAGGGGGGGATCATATGCTGAGATCCTCACGCAAGCACCTGATTTTATGCCTTCTGTATATTCACCGTCTCGAAGCATGTTTGATGCCATCAAGGTACAATGGATTCTCGTCCGCTGACCAGGCTCGCGGTTTCAAGCCGTGCGGCGAGGCAACGTGACAGATCACCAAAGGCGTCCATATGACTGCTTGGCCTGACTTGACAACATTGAGTGTTGAACACAAACAACCAAAACATCGCAGTTGTCACAAACTCACCGAGGCCATGCTCCCAGGTGTGACACCCCATAGTCACTTACACCGGGAGTGCCAGCAGTCACACATACAGAAACCGCAGCCCGCACGTCGTAACACCTTGAGAGCAAGCCGATCCCAGATCTGGCGCGTGGCCGATCCAGTCCAGGTCCTTCCCGACAGCAGTAAAGAAGAGAAAAAGGTATCATATTGCGTCCACGGAAACGGCCCGAGACACAGCGTCAAAGGACATTTACGGCACCCGGTCAGGGAACGCCATGCATGAACCTTTACGGTCCAGGGACCGCCTTCCCAAAGTCAGACCCAACGCCTCGAAATCAAAACGCCTTTCGGCTTCAACAGGGTCCCAAACTCTTGTGATTGGAAACCCTCCCGCCCAAACAAAACAAACGTAGACAAACAAGTAACCCTTCACATCGAGAAACCCTGTGTGAGACCTCCGTTGTCAGGCGTAGCCATGATCCTGCTGAGCGCCGCCTGCGTCGCGCAGCGTCACAATGGCAATGTCAAAAAACGAGAACCATGGACGTCTCACCACCAATGATGTCAAGCGTACCGCAGACAGGGTAGTAAGTTTATTTAAATTTGAAAAGTTATAAATATAAATCTATATATATAATTATAAAATATCTCGATCTGCAAACATAACCAACAGTTTTGCAGGAGCCCCCTCCCCCATTTGTGCATCCTGCGCGCCCCCGACAACAAGCTTTGTGGCTCCCTGATACTGCCGATCCCCTACAGGCAGTCCAGCAGCAACCACACCAATGTCGTCGTCCATACACCCCCGATGACCTGGTCGCGAGCGACCTGGACACTCACGACTTGGTCAACTGGGCATGCATTCACAAAGGGGGCACACGCCCAGCCCTGTTTTGCGTGGCTCGACACTCTCAGTTTAGGAAATGATCTGACCCTCGGCGCAAAACAAGTTGCAAACTCGTCCACAGGAGAACTGTGTGCAGGCCAAACGTGACCGTCGGCTAGAGAAACACACATCCCCAGTCAACGTACAGAGGCACTGAAACCCATTACTCGCAAACAAAAGCCCGAACTAACCCTCAAACTCCCGGTCCGCGCCTTCGACCCAACGGTGCAATAGCCCCGGAAGAAGGCTAGGCCGCCGAAGCGAAAGCGGTGAGGTACATGTACCTTCGCGGCGGCGCGGTCATCCCTCCATCGGCCCAGGCCCAGGCTGGATTTTGCTCGGGCAGAGGCCCAGCCAGCCCCTTGGGCCAGCCAGCCAGGCATTCCACTTCCACAAGAAGTAAAGAAACCTTCCTTTCTAGAACGCTAGCGGGTGCTGGCTGCCCACCCAGCTCGTGGCTCACGGGTGATGCCGAATCTTAGCTCGGATGATGGTCAGCCGGACGTATCATTTGGTGGGAGCGCAATCGAGGCATTCACTGTCGCGCTAGAGCAACAAAGCAAAGAAAAGATCCGTCGTGGATGCTGCATTGAAAATATGACTGAGTCTTCCGACTCGGGTTCTCAGCTCGGCATACCCATGATAGTCGTTGCTGATGCGGTTCAGTACAGAGAGGCTGGGCGAGAATTCGATATCTACACGCACACAAGACCTGGTCGGGAAGGTTGCAAGAACGTAGGAAGAGATAAGACGACGTGTACCCAATCCTGACCCCCGACCCGACATGAATGCTGTGTAGTGACAGAACATGTGTCAGCGCTGATTCGCCCAAGCTACTGACGCGCGGCAGGTCTGCGAATGGCTTCGTCTTCCCCGCACGAAGACGGCGAGGGCGACGACGACGTTGGGGCGCAACTTAAAATGGGGGTTGGCAAGGATCAGCCCGCCTAGGGTCCCTTCTGCACAGGGTAACTGCTTGGGTGCCTTTGCGAAGAACGGGGAATCGTGTGTCCTTCCAACGAAGCGAATCAATGGGAGCAGAGCTGGGCTGAGGCATTTGAGCAGCGAGCTCCTGACCTTCTACCCGTTCATTTTCGGAAGGCGTCATATCAACCCGCGATGCGTCAACTTTGGATAATGAGAGCTTGAGTCGTCGACATCAAACAAGTCAATGCGGACACGGATGTTTGGTTTTGAACATGCTCAAAAATAGGTCACGTCAGATCTTTCCTTCCCTCTGATCTCCAGTGCGTCTCACGCCTCGCTGCCATGCCAAGACGACGCTCTGTGTTTGACAGGACTCGGAAAGTGAAGAGGGGGGAAGGGTCACGTGAAAATGCGGTGTTGGCGATGCATCTGGTATCAAGGGACCAACGATGAACGGATGTGGCGACGAGCCACGAGGTGTGGCAGCCCGCGGGGGTTTCTCCCGAAGTGCCTACTAGCGAGAGCGGACGCTGAGATGCCCGCAAAACAAGCGACACGGACCCTAGACACTCCCCCCCCTTCTCCCCCCGGCTCCCAGCTGGCCACCATGGCTTGTTAAGGTCAGAAGACAGAGGGGTTCGTGAGGGGCCTCGGGTGTGCCCCCCCAAAGCCTCCAGATTGCTGGTTCTGGCGCAAGGTGCCTGCATTAGCCCGAGAGTGACTTTGGTCGCGGGCACGAGGCCAGGTTGTTCCGTCCAGTCCCGGTGAAGCAAACCTGCCAGTACTGGGGAAAACGCAGTGCGGTGCAGAGGGCCGGGAACAGGCTTGAGGTGGACCACTTGAATGTCTCTTTGAGGCGATGGCAGCGCGTGAGGTGTTTTCGTCGTGACGGCCAGGACCAGATCAACGGCTGGCAGCAGGCGATCCGAGTCATTCGTACATTCGTATATGTACTGCACCCGTGCGGTGGGAGCTCTTCCCGAAAAAACACGAAAATGCGAGGGCGTGCGTGTCTGCCGACTACGAAACTCTAATGAGAATGCGCGAACCCCCATGTGCACGCGTATTGCTCTTCCGCCACGTCTTGATTGAGGGACACGGCCGCCGAGGTGGCTGTCGATGCCTGTCTGCCGATGCCCTGTCGGTCGCGGTTTGAGGAAGCAAAGCGAAATGCTTTTAATCTCTTTGGCTCTCCATCTATTTCTCTGCCTCCAGTACTGTCATAGCGAAGCGACATGGGCGAGCACCGCGTGAGGAGCGAGTCGGGGTTTTTTGGATCCACGCCAAGGCACGGCACCCTCTTTTGCTCGTTTGGGACAAGCATTGCGTCCGTCTTCAAGCCGATCAGCCGTCGTGTGTAGCCATGTAGCCATGGCGTGGTCCGTTCGACGTGGTCGCTGTCCTACTTGCACTGTGTTAGCTCATGCTGCAAGAACATGAATCGGTCGATGGCTCGTGCAGTGTTTGTGTTTGCATGGTGGTAAGATTGATTTGTTTTGGTGTATGTTATGCCGCGAGGCCGATCAAAATGACAGGAAACTTTGAGCGAAAAAGCATGGTGATTGAATGATGCCATGACCTGAAGAATGCTCCGACGACGACGGATGGATAAGAAGAAAAGTCGACTAGAGCTAAGGATGCAGAACGTGGGAAAGCAGTGGATGGGAGAGTGCTTCGCTTCAGGCTTGGCTCTCTCTCATCCTCTACCGCTCTTACTCGTGTTCTTCCTTCTGTTGGTGGTATTCGGCGACGCCTCCCATACTGCAACCAGATAAGCTCAATGCGGGCAGGCCAGAAAGGCTTGGCTGATGAGTGTGGCCGTGGGCGTGGCCATGGCCGAGGAGAAGAGAACGAGCGAGCGGGCGGGCGAGGATTTGGCATGAACTGTGAACAGGACGAGAATGGCACAGGGCAGGGGGGAGCAAGTGAAATGGCGGGAGCAAAATTGAGTGCTGAGAGCAGCGGATCCCGCCGCCAGGGCCAGTCCAGATGGTGGGCTCTCATTGGCACGAAGCCTCCTGTGCGCATCTGGTCTTGCCCCGAAGCAGGCTAGCACGCTTAGCGTAGCCGCTGCTCTGGTGCGTGCTGCATGTTGGGGAAGTCCCTCCCTGGTGGCAACTGCTGCAGAAAGGGACTTGCCGGGCTGGCGCGCGGTGGGTGGCAGCTAAGAGCTTGGGCATCTTGGCCGAGAGCTTGGCCTGTGGCTGCTCTCGATGGCGTGGGCCCTGGGGGCAGAGACAGAGGAGGAACAGGGAGAAAGTGAGAAAGAGAGAAAGAGGCCGTCCTGGGGTGTTCTGGCCGACTGGCGTTGCACTGCTGCCCAGGCGCTCTTGCCGAAGGCGGGCTCTGGGGCTGGGCCGGGGCAGGTCTTTTTGGCACATGCTGCTCCCTATGGCTCTCTATTGCCACCTTGTGACCTGTTCCATGTCTTGCTTGAGGGGGGGTCCTGATGGTGGTGAGGTTGGAGGCAAGAAGAATTGATGGTTGAAAAACTGAAACGGGCGAGGAATGGTTTGCCTATTGGAGTATCGAGCACGAAATGCCGCAGAATCGCAAGCATGAAAATTCGACGGTTCAGCACGAGACGGCAGAGCAATTGCATGATCTCTCACTGCATGCATCTCACTTCACTCCAAGAGCCTTTCTCTCGAGGTGCATGAGCTCTACCTAGGCTCCCTACCCTGTACCAACCTAGATACCCTGTGTCAATATGAACCCACCTCGTGCTCAGAGACACCAAGCACAGTGGGCATCACCAGCCCATCACCACCTGGACCAGTAATGGCTCGTGGCCCCCGCCTGCCCCTGCTACCGAGACGACCCCTTGCGCCGGACCCCAGACAATCCCCCCCGATTATCTGCCCATTTGCCCATTTGCCCGTCGCCTTTGGCCTTGGCTGGGCTGTTCCACTGTTCTTTCTCTCCTGAGTCCTGGTCCTGACTAGGTACTTGGCCTATGTACCTAGCCCAAGGTAGGACTAGGGGGTGTACTTCGTACAGGTACTCACCATCAAACACAGTACGGCAAATATACGGCCAATCTCCCCCCTTGCACTTGCACTTGCACTTGCCCCAGAACTTGCCTGGCGACCTCCTCCCATTAAAACCATCGTGATACCTCGAGCCCTCCCAGCCTACGCAGCCTTCCCCCCTCTCTCTTCTCGTCCATCTGCCTGGCTGTCCAGCTCGCATTTATACACCCGACACTCCTTCCAAGCCGGCCATCTTCCTCGCACATTCGTGTTTGTGGAAACTGTTGAGGACGTCAAGGTCTTATCCTACCTCTCTCTCACCACCAAGGCACAGCCCGCCTTGCCCTCCCCCCCGCCGTATAGACGCTCGGACTTGGCATTCGCAACTCTCGCGATCACCCAATCGACCTCGCATTCGCGTTTCCGCGTTTCTCCTCGCAATCTTTCTCTCCTGACCACTGCATCCGACAGACCGATCATTCGACGGTAGCATTTCTTCCTTCCTTTTCAAGACTGCCAGTCTCATCGATTTGTTCCGGATTCCTCAGTCTCTCCATTGCGTCTTGGTCCACCAGCCTCTCCCTCTGCCTCTCTCTTTCTCGCTCTGCATCGAGACACGAGGTAAGACAACTCCCCTTTCACCTGCCTCTGCCGTGACCGGCACTAGTGAACACAAAGCTGACCAGTCCCGTCCCTCTAGTCCTTCTAAAGTCGCTGTCCCTGACACAGTCGTACCCAAAAGGAGTGCCCAGACGATCCCGTTGCACCTCCCACGCCCACTACACGGAAGCGGACTCGCCGACCGACTCGCTCGCGTCACCCAGCATTCCAGTCTCCGCCCCCTTCGGAGACCCTTGAACTCACGACTCAGCCGACCGTCATCTCTACACTTCGTGTCTGCCCCCAAATCACACTCGTCAACATCATCATCACCACCACCACCACCAGCGCCGCCTCGTTCAGTCACACCAGTACAATGGCCTTTCCCACTGATGACAAGGCGGCCCTGAGCCACAGCTATGAGTCTGTTCAGGACCTCGCCCTGCCCCCAAAGGCTGCCACCGTCAAGACGACTGAGGCGACGCATGGCTCCTCGCCTGCCTCGTCTACCAAGGAGAAGATCATCGAGCTCCGCCGCGACAGCATCCCGTCAACGCCACACTCCCTTCGCAATGACAACCCCTTTGACACGGACGTCGAGGCCATGATCACCACGACCAACACGAACAACAACAACAACAACATGTCTCGCAAGTGCACCACCACCATCTCCAAGGCCGATTGCCCCTCTGTCTGGCCTGGCAAAGAGCACTGGAAGCAAAAGGCCAAGACGGCCAAGCGTAACCGTCACAACACGTGCAACTGCCTGGCCCACCTCAGCAAGCGCAACCGCATCATCGCCAAGATCCTCATCGGCCTGTTGATTGTTGGCATCGCCGTCGGTGTCGGCTTTGGCGTTAGCAAGCCTCTGGGCGCACCCATCTGGGGCGTCAAGGACGACGAGAAGAGGTAAGATGATCAAAGGGTCATGATTTGTTCATCATTTCCGTCTTGTCATCTTATCTGTCTAAATGGGTGTTGCTGCATTGTCCGGTAGGCATACCGTTCCGGCGTTCAATAGGGTTTTTGGGAACAGGTGAGGGAAGTCACCAGGTCAGGCGTTCAGCGAGCGAAAGCATCTTACTGTCAGAGCATTCATTACTCTACAGAGGGCGTTGGGGGGTTGTTCTTCATCATCATGGCTACCAGGGTCCACTACCCAGCCGCGCGAGGCCTTTTGGCAGACCAAGATTTCTTATTTACAACATTGCCATCAATTCATTCCACTGTTACCAACAGCTCGTCTTTGGTATCCAAACACTTTTTGCCAACGCCAATTTCCGTTGCCATCGTTTGCTCCCCCTTGATTCACGACTCTGAATCCAACAGGGGAAGCTTCCATGCATGTCCGATATGCTGAGCCTCTGCAGAAACGTCGGACTCTTCACGCCACTTGTGTTCAGAACATTTTTCCATCCTGTGGGTTGCTGACAACGACCGAGCGAGTCGTGACCTGGACGCCAGCCCGTCCCTTGCCCTTGCCCTTGCAGTCGTCTTCGTCTTCTTCTTGTTCTTCACAGCCTTCGCCAACGAACCTCACAACCTTGCAGGGGGTAGCAGCAGGAGCAGCAGCTCCACCAGAGACCCAGCTGCTCCTCATGTCATCCGGCCCGGCACCAATGGAAACCACCGAGGAGCCGATGAAGGAAGGCGCCGAAATAGTGGGGCTCACCGGGCCGCCGTCATCGCGACCGCCACGACCGGGGAACGGCGAGGGCCCGAAGCGATGCGGCAGCAGCGCCGCGTGGACGGAGCGCCAGTCCTTGATGGTCGTGGGCAGGGTCGTCGTTGCCTCGCCGGCGCGGAGGCGGGAGAGCAGACGGCTCGCGCCATCAGCGAGGGCCGCCGCCGCCGCCGCCTCGCTGGTCTTCTTGGCGGCGTCGGTGTCGCTGCTGTTGGCGTTGCTGTTGTTGTTGTCTTTGCGTTGTTCTTCTTGGCTG